TCCTTCCGACCCCGAGGCGCCCTTTCCCTTTCCCATAGCCCCCCCCGCCATCCCCCCCGTCCGCCGTTCCCCCAACGTCCCGGGGCCCGTAAACCCCCGCCCGGGACGGGTGTGGTCGAACATTGGGCGGGGCCCCCCGGGGCGGAGGGGGGGGGGGCGCCCCCCCCCCTCCCCCTGCATGGGTGGAGTTCCTAGGCGGCGGAGGGGGTGGCGGGGGTCCGCCGCCGGCAGCGGCGGCACTACCGGCCCGGGGGGGAGGGGGGGGAGGCGGGTAGTGCATCCCCGGCATCCCTGGGACCGGGGCTCCGGCCACGCCGTACATGCCTGCGATGAGCGGGGGAAAGGTGTGTGGGGGAAGGTTGAAAAAAAAAACTTGCTGAGTCACTTTCTTGACGCGCTCTCGTCCGAAACCTGGACGCCGCCGACACCACCGCGTTGTCATCCACGTGACAAAATGTGGCTTTTTACCTATACTGTACACGTGGCTTTTGGCCATCTTGAACGACGCATTTTATGACCGGCATTGGGATTTCGCAGGCGTGGAACATACACAGGCAAACAGAGGGGAAAAACAAAAAAACGCATGTGTGTGTACACACAGTCGGAACGACGACGCATTTATGACTGGCATTGGATTTCGCAGGCGTGGAACATACACAGGCAAACAGAGAGGAAAACAAAAAAAGGCGTGTGTATGTACACAGTTGCAACACAAAAAGCAAACGAACACAAGAGAGACCGATAACTCAAGAGGGTCTGTACGCCCAAACTCTCACCGGGCGCCGGCGGTGGCGGGGGAGGGGGGGGGCGAATGCCGAAACCCGACGGTCCTCCCTGCAAACGACATCGAGGGACGGGCGCGGGTGATGGAAATTGGGACGATGAGTGCGTGTGTGTGTGTGGTGATGTGTGACGAGTGTGAGAACCAGCGCCCAAATAACGTATGTTGCCAACACAGCAACATTACATAACCCCAACCCTAGCCCGAAGCAGGTGCGGGCGGGGACCAGGGGGGGTATTCATGTGTTGCATGCCTTAGCTGTTAGACCATTGGGGGGGGGGGGGGGGGGGGGGGG